GTGAGTCGACCTGTGATTGGCTGTTCCAGAGGCCGGAAACTCCAAGCTTTCACAAGCATGCGTTTGACAGGAGCTAGTCGCTACAAGCGTTTAAAAGTGCGCTTCGTGCAGAGCCAGTCACAACAAGCACAGTGGCGCTGATCACGGACTGCCACACACTCCCTTACCGCATGGGCCTTTTAGCCCACACGCGCCCCCTTAAAAACCTGCGGAATAAAACCATCGGTTATATCACATTACTCCACCTCTTCTCACCAACATTTACATCGCACATGGTCACGCCCGACGCCACATGGCAAGTTTTTGCAACCAGTGTCTCTCATGTGAGAACGAAGTATGATCCTCAGCTTCTTTTCTATTTGGCTCCACTGGACTTACGGAGTGTAGTTGGATTGTGTCTGGCGTTTGAGGACTTTTTTGAATTTGTTACCACGGCCAAATTCCAAGGTCGGCAGTTAAATCCGCGTCAGTTAGCGCCCTTCCAAGCCACTGCATTTACTGCACCATGAGTCGGCCTCACACTAGGCCCTAGCTACTGTCCGAACCGGTCAATAGACTGGTATGGGGAATGGGTGCAACTGCTGATGTATCTAGCGACCTAATCTATGCGTGCCACGTGTACGACTTGGCCTCTCAAACACAATCACCAAGATTTCATACAAAGGAGGGAGGTTAAGGAGCTTAGATGAAGAAGAGTGTCAAAGGTCAAAGGTGCCATTGCAGCCTAGCTATCAAATCACCAGTCAACCACGCCACAGACACTCCCCTTGAACTGACTGAGTTCACAGTTTTCGGTTGAAAACACTTGGTACGTGGTGCTGGATGTGACCATGTGTGACGCAGATGCTGATGAGGAAAGATGTAGCAATGCGATGTAGCCGGCGGTGTTCTACCGCGGATTTTAATGAAGGCACGTGTGGGCTAGTAGGCTTATGCTGCATGTGAGTATGCGTTGACAGTGTGAAAAGTTAAGGTGGATACGGTGCCTGTATGTCGGAAGCCCAAGCACTAGTTAACCGATCTCTGCGTGATGGATTCGTAAGTGAGCAATCAGACCAATGCTTGAGGTGAAGGCGTGGAGGCAATGGGCTCAGAACGGATCAGGTGCTGAGCCAATAGCGTTTGTATTTTTGTTGCTGGTGGTGGTCACGCTGATTGAAGGGCTGAGGCTGGGATTATTGATGAGTGATCAGGATGTATCAGGTGTATCGCCACTGCGGTGAATTCCGCTGTCATGAATACGAATATTACCGGGTAGACCCATACGGTTAGTGAATGCGCGAGGGCAATGGAGGTTGTGGTCTCTGTAGTGTGTCGGTTCTCCGGGCACTGGTTCAGCAATCTCTGTGCGATGGATTTGCAAGTGACCGACCCGACCGATGCGTGAGGTAAATTTGCGATCGCAAAGAGGACAGAATACACTCAAGTCCTCATTGTTGGTGGAAGGGCGGTGGGGGAGGGGGGTGGATATGTCGCTGTGGCCTATATCAGTAGAGAAGAGCCTTACAGCTGCGATCTTCAGACCTGGTAACGTGTGGAAAGAAGATAAGTGAGGGGCCAGAATAGTGAATTCCGTACAGGGATGGTGGAAAATAGGTTGGAGGAAGTTCAAAATCAGAAGAGTGTACAGCTACCTGTGAGGGGGCCGGTACCCGAAGTGTGAGAGCGCGGGAGTCATCACAGCGTCTACAGCGCGGCTAGGTGCCGGTCAGCCTTGAAGGCGATTAGTCAGACCGGATTGGGGTAGACAGAACACAGTGCATGCGCAATTGCCAGCAGCCGCGAGAGGTTGAGCATTGCACGCGGAATTCTGGTACTACGGAGGTAGCAGATGGCGCGGTGGTGGTGTTAGGGGTGAAGGAATTGGTGTCGGTGGTAGTTGCCACCGTGATTGATACGAGTACAGTGTCGGTGATTGAAGACGACTAGGCCTCGGTGTTGAGGGTGATCGCTGACGTGGTTTTTGAAAGGGGGGAACTGTATGAGTGTTCGTCTTTGTAGAACTTGCTGTCATCGGAATGTTGTTGCATTGTGTCCGAAGATGTCCAGCGAGGCTGATTGGCGTGCGGAAGGTGATTTGACGTGGGCGTCATGGACCCAAGGCGTTTGTGACTGCCGATCCGCCTTTTTGCCTTGGCAACGGCGATCTGGTTTGCTTCGTAGATTTCGGCACTGGTCTTCATTGCTCTTCTCCAGACTGGTCTGTAAGGGGCGAGGTCCTCCCAGATCGTCGGGTTGATTTGCAGTCGCTTCAAACAGTTCTTCAAGGTGTTTTTGTATAGTCTTTTTTGTCCTCCTTGTCGGCGAGCATCCACAGCAGCATCTC